GAGCAGTGCCGACGAAGCCAGCCTAGGGCATCTTGGGGTGGTTGCTGGCCATGGCGACGACGACGCAAGCAGCCTCGCCGGTCTAGCCTGGTTGCTGGCCATGGTGACGACGACGGAGAGGAAAGAAGCGATGCAGGCGGACGAACTCTCGAAGGGAGGAAAGACGATTGAAGGGATAAGATTTATGTGGACTAGCGGCGCTGGGATAAAGACGTGCGTGGGACCCATGTCCACGTCACGCGCGTGCAGCGGACCGGCGCAAAAGTTCCGCCGGCACACCGATGGTAAACGTTTCCCGAAAAGAATTGGTTGTTTTTAGGTTATCTTTTCTCGCCTGCGTGTGTTGGGAACTCATCCAGAAGCTTGTCAAAACTCATGACTCTTTTTTCTTTTATTTACCATTTATTTTGTGTTTGGGTCTCCAATGCACATGACTTTTCTTGTCTCTTTTCTGCAGGAAAAGAGCGGCTCCAGTGCAGGGAGGAAAAGAAGAGGGTGAGGTGATGACTGACGAGTCCTCCTCCTGTCTTTTGGCTGTGACAGGGCAGGGCGGTCAGTCAGGGATATGTATGCTCGGATTGAGACGTGCAAAGCACTCTTTCAGAGGCTCCAGTGCAGCTCTGTAATCGTAAGTACAAGGTTTCTCCCGGTCCCGGTCTTCTCTGCTCCTTTGACCATTTGTCATGCTTTATGGACGTTCAGGTTTAATCTTTAGCTTTACGATGAAACAGGGGGTTATTTTCATTTTTCGTATTGCTGGGAAGCATGCTTGCAATATCATAACCAAGGCAATGTATATGCTAGGCCCATTTTTTCCCTACAAGAAAAAGGTCCATTTTTGAACGAGAACAAACCAGCTATACGTACGTACATTGTGATATACAGCTTGTTACTAGAGTGTACGTGTGTGCCTATTTTTTCCTGTACAACATGATTCGGGCATGCCTCGTTGCATCATGCATCACGCCGGCCAGAAGCAGCCACTACTCTTTGCTCTTCTGGAAAACTATCTCCCCATGTCAGGAAATCACAAACTCGTCATCAAATCTACCGCCTCCTCTGCCTGCCTCCAACCCTACACTTTGCTCCTCCCAATCTTTGTTGCCTGGCAGTAATCCCCCTCTCCCACAGTGCACACCCACGAGCAGAAGAACGAGCCCAGCGCAGAGCCATTATCCTCACCGATGAGTGCCGGCCAGGCCAGAAGCCCAGGAGCGCGCACTGATGAGTGGCACATGCCGTGTCCCCGACGCGAGCAAGCGGTAGTAGGGTGGAGCGTACGTGTGTCCAGACTCCAGACCTCGCTCGCCGCTGCATCTGCATGCATGATGAGTCAAAGACGGGGTCAGCACAGAACAGGCAGCGCGTCAGGTACGGCGCAGGTGGCACGTACAGGAAGCCAGCCCACGTAAATGCGGAGGCTTCCCGCTTCCCGTCAGTCAGATTCAGAGGTGCATGGCAATATGTGGAGGAGGGTATGATGGCCCGTGTCGATACGTACCCCCTCTATCTGTCTGCGACGCCTCTGTGCGGCAGCGTGCACGGGGCTGGCTGCCCGCTCCCTGCGGCCAGGCATGCATGCATGCATGCTCGTTCAGTGCAGGGAGCGCGTTGTGCGCTGCTTGTCACACGCGCATGCATGCATGCACGGGTGGTCGGCCTCCCCTCCCGTCCCGTTCCATGCCCGTCCATCCACTGACGTCGCAGTGCTGCGGCAGGAGCAACGGCCGGCGCGGTGTGGGCGCCGGAGTTGTCAGCAGTGAATGCTAGATGCCCTGGCAGGTACGTGGAACTTGCAAGGACGGCGTTGCTACTTCAGGTTCGCTGGCTTTGATAGGCGAATTTGACAAATTTGACTTGTAAATGAAATTAAATTACAGAATGATCTACCCGTGAAACTATTTCACACGGCTAACCTTTTTATATGACGCCCGACACGAAGGCGCCACACTACATTGTGCAACGCCTCATAGATAGGCGCTACACGCCTGGCCAGCGTTGCATCCCAGACTGTCTAAAAATTGCTAAGTCATTGTGCAGAGCCTACGAGCTAGGCGCTGCACTGTATAGTGTGGCGCCTAGCTCTCAGGCGCTGCACTAGTGGTTGCACTACAAAATGAAGCAGCCACTAGTGCAACGCTTAAAAGCTAGGCGCTACACTGTATAGTGTGGCGCCTAGCTCTCAGGCGCTGCACACTGACTTAGTAATTTTTGGATCACACGGGTGCAACGCTGGCCAGGCGTGTAGCGCCTATCTGCGAGGCGTTGCACAGTGTAGTGTGGCGCCTTCGTGTCGGGCGCACACAAAAAAGTCAGCGGCGTGAAATAGTTTCACGGGCAGTTCATTCTGTGATTTGATTTCGTCCATAGGTCAAATTTATCAATTTTGCCGCTTTGATATACCCGTGTGGCCGCGCGCCACTGGATGGGCTGAGGATCACTACGGTCGTATCGGATGCGGCGTGGAAACAGAAGCAACGTGACGATCGGATCGGAGGTTGTACTACGTACCCCGTCCCCGTCGTAGCAGGTGCGCACGAGCAGGGGACACTGCGCCCCGATTCGTCAGCGAAATGAGCCCGTGTGATAGGACGAGGGAGCTCGATCGACCGAGTGGAGCGCGAGTGGGACGGTGGGGCTAGTGCAGGACGCGTCACGTAGATGCACTCAGGATGAGAGGCAGCACGAGGGGGCGGACCAGCGTGCAGCAGACTGCGGCAGGGGTGAACAGTGCTCGTGCACAGCGGAACCGTTCCCACGCAATAATTGCCTCGCCCTGCTCAGATCGGCATGCTGGCCGGCCGGAGAGCGGGGAGGCCGGCGGTCAAGGCTCAAGAAGAAGGCCTCCACCCCGTTGCTTTCGTCGACCGAACCGGACCAGGGGTAGGAATCATGCCTGCCAGCCTCACGTCGCTTGCCGCGCACACGTGAAACAGGCAACGCAACGCAACGCGTAGCACCTTTGTCCTGGGGGCGGGACGTGGGAGGGACACATGCACGGGCTGCATCGGCCGGCCGCTGCGAGGGAAGCGAGCGGCAGCGGTAGTAGCATCAGGAGGCAGTCGGGCAGCGTCTTTCCAGCCTGCCTGGTCAGGCGGCGATGGTGGTACGTGCGCGTGTACCGCTGCGGCGGGGCACGGCATGGCGCCACTGGCCGGGTAGCGGCACATGCGGCAGCCAGCGGCAGTGGGGCGGTCGGAAAGGCTGGCGCATGCAGGCAAAGCAGGGGCGCGTCCAGGCTGCGTGACAGTACGAGTACGACGAGACGACCACCGGTTTGAAAGCGGTAGGTGGCGACTGCCGAGTGCCTGTGGCTGGCAGGCACATTCACTGCTACCGCCCCACGGGCAAAGCAAAGAGCAAACCCCTTCCTTCCTTTCCCTGCACACACACGCGCGCCTCCTGTAGCGTTCGACGCCCCTTGGCAGATTTGTTCGCCGGGTGGTTCCTCGCTGATGGAACAACACGAGGCGAGGAGGCCGACCTGGCCAACGGGGAACCAGTGCTGAGTGTAGCGTATCTATCTATCTATCTAGCGGCCTGGGCTCTGCATCAAAAGGAGGAGGCCAACATGGGACGGGTTCAAATCGGTCTCTCTGATCCGATGTGAACCAAAGGCGGGAGCAGTGGTACGTTTAGGCTGCCGGGCAGGGCAAGGCTACCTGACTCGAGACGCTTCTTTCTAGGCCTTTTTCGCTTTGAATGGGACACTGTAAAATGGCTCTGCGAACGGAGTCAATGGCGCTGTGCCGTCGCAGCGACAAGAGACAGGCGGTAAGAATCTGGCCTACAGCAGTAAACTCGAGTCAGTAATAATGGTCGCAGCGATAGTCCAATGTGCAGAGCCGATGACTGAGACCTGACGCGCCAGTAAATTAACTTCGCCTACAAGAGATAATTTGGAATTTCATCATGGCAGGCCTGCAGCGTCTTGCCGTCTTCTGCCTTCTTTTTTTTTATGAAGTTGCCGTCTTCTGCCTTCAAAGCAGTGAAGGCAGACTATCGGCGTTCACATAAGACGGCGGATTCGGACAAGGCCGATCAGGATGGCATCTTGCAATAGTTGAGACGGCTACAGCGTACAGGGATGTGAACAAAACCGATATCAAACTCCAGACAGCAGGTCATGATTTGATGAAAGTACTCTGTATATCACACTCCAAACTTTTTCTGTACAACACAGAACGTCACACGGCAAAATTGAGATACAGATAGTCCTTCGACATTGCATCAGTTTTAACTCTAGTCTGTGCTTAAATTACTGCGGTATATGTTTCTGGTTGTCTGTCCCCGTATACGAACTAGCTGCAGAAGTAACATTGGGATCCCACGCCCGACGAGTTTGCATTTGTAGGAAGAGCAAGCCAGAAGGTTCGTTATGGCAACGACTACTGCCTACAAAGTCTTCTGATGAAGTAGCAGAGCTAATTTACAACAGCCCGACGGGCATTTTCTGGTATTACATTACCTGGATCTCCTCAATAATCTACAGCTTCGCCAACAGTATACGGGTTGTCCCTTGCAGCTTCTAGTCCACTATGAGCTGCCAATGTGATCAAAGGCAGCTTCTACGACGGTATGTACAGTTGAGCTCAACGTTGAAAGGCTGTGATGCAAACAGATCCAGCAGATGTTATTTGAAGGTGAGGTTTTTAAAAGCAGGTATACAACATAATTGATAAAGCTGGTAAAAGACGGTTAGCTAGAAAAGCAATAAAGCTGATGGGCAATGCTAGCACAGGGAATTTTCTGTCACATTTCGATTTTTGGGGTGCCAATGAAGGTCTACAACCAAAGCTACAGACCTAATAAAGTTATGACCCTGTACCAAAGGGCTAAGGAAAATGCTAACGAAGATTGAAGTTGTAAAATCGTGTAACTATTATTTTGAAAGAGGGCAAAGAAGTGATGCACAACATTACAATACAAAGAGCAAAGTTTAGTTTTGCACCTTGGAAAAATCATGTCGCTGATGACAGTCAAATCGTCAGGAGAGAGACTCAGTCCTTCTGATAAAAGGAGAGAACTAGGTCTGTATGTACCGAGAACAATTGTGTGTCCAGAAACAGCTGTCAACAAAATCGAATGAACTGCATATATTAGTCTGTGCCGCAGTATATGTCTCACTGAACACGCATATGCCTATCATATGTAAAATGGCAAAATCGATTCTTGCAAAAGATATGAAAACTCAACCAAAAAGAGAAGACTTCTAAGTATTGCTCAACCTGAGAATCAGGACCTTGAAGCGTTGTCCAAATATGGTACTCAAACTAGATTGAAGGCAATGAAAATGGGAAGGCTGCAAATTTAATACCTTCATAAAAGGCCTATCTCGGGCCGGGAAAGAACCAATGAAGCTCTCTCTTAAAATTAAGGAAACCTGTGTAAAGACAGCAAAAGACAGTCAGTAACTAGGGGTGTTTTATATATTAAGAAATAGACTCGAGTCAACAACAAATATTCTACACATGTTTACAGTTGGCAACTGACAGTTCTTCTTATGATTATAAAGAAAAGACTCAAAATTAGCAACGAGTATCCTGCACTTGTATATATCTGCTGATAAAATCCTGTTTAGGAACACACTGGGGGGCCAAGACAATTCGTTCAACAGATAAAGGCACACAAGAATACACAGACCATACATTTTAACAACATACCTTGTCATTGTTGGATTGCACATTGGTAATCGTGTGAGATCTTAAGTTGGAGCACAGAGAATCAAGGTGGGATCTAAGCACTGCCAAGAAACCTTTGGCTGCTTCCACCTGTATGCTCAGAAGTTCAGAATGATGTCAGAAGTGAAAATCCACAGGATACAGAAAATGCTTATACTTCAGCACAGAACAACTAAACAAACCTGGGCGTCTGTGCATTCATAGACAGGGCGCTTCCTAGCGAGATAACTTTCACCCACAAGTCTTGAATGATACGGCCGCAACGCAGAAAGCAATTCTTTCTGTTGTGGAAGTTGCGGTACTGAAGCAGACTTAATCTACATCCAGCATGATTTCGTCCATCAGTAATAGCTTGTCGCATTATTTACATCATCAACCATGATACTACAGCATTAGATGCTTTAAAAAATTATACTACAAGTGAAACTGATGATGTACAAGTCTCCAAATCAGCAAATTTGTAAAAAGGAAATAGGAAAGCTCTACGCAGGCAATACACAGTAGTGGACAGAATTTGTCTCCAGAAAGTAATAAAATATCACAGGTAAATAGGTAAGACACTTTGCAGGCACCTGATTCTTGTTGGCATCAATTATCACGGCATTTGCTAGCCTGGATTGCAGATCAGGTGTTTTGTGCTGCACACCAACCTAAACATGAGAATAATTGTTAGTCGTGGACCAGTCAGTTCAAATTAACTCAACAAAATTTATTTCAAATAGATGGTGATCGATATAGACCAATATCTACATATTTGGTGTTCACCCAATGTGAGATATGTATCTCTCCTTCAATCCCATCCCCCAAAAATATTCCCTTCTCATCCCTCCCTGGCTTGCTTGGATAATGGATAGGCAGAACAGATCCCATCACTTCAGACAGGCGGTAAATTTAGCCCAATTTTCTTGCCTTTCTGTAGGGACTGGGCCTAACTGCCTTCCATCAGCCTTAGTGTGAAGACTAAAAACATATCTCTACCGTTTCTCCACAATTTTCTCTACTTTAATCAAACCAAAATATGTCAATAAGCTTGGGAACTCACAATGTATGGAACAGGCGCGTCCAGAAAATCCAGCATGTCATTTGGCAAAACCTGTATTAAATGATGCAGACATCACAAGAGTTAAGCATGAATACATTGCCAAGCCATCCAGTTCAGATCTGAGCACTCAGAGGAACAAAATGTAAGTACCGGTATGAGTAGACTCTGCCACTGATATGGTCGTATTAGAGGTATTATGGATAAAACTGAAGCTGAAAGCATTCCCTGGTCATCAAAACAATATTCTTTATTAAATAACAACTCATGTATGATTATTCTGTTTGCCATAACAGAAAATTGTTAGCTAACACACAGATCAAGAAAATTATCAGATTAACTGGTGTGCAATATCAACACAAAAGGTGTGAATAAGAATGTCAAAACATGTATGAAGGTTGGAACAGTACCAAATTAGAACAGACAATAACAATCTGTTTCTCCAGGAGTGCGGCAGCAAAAAGCGTAATTACCTGTCAACAAAATGAATTCCAAGTTGGTAACTACAGGTAAAATTAAGTGCTCACAAGCAATTTATAGACAATCAGTTTGTGTGCTAAGACAGATAAAACTAGAGCCCAAGAATGTAGAATGACACATCAATCAATCATTAAAAAAGGACAGACCCAGTGCATAGAAGCTCCCACACAAGGTGGGGTCTGGGGAGGGATTATAGGAACCTAGTCTTACCCCTGCAAAGTGCAATGCAGAGAGGCTGGTTCGAACCCAGGACCTCTTGGCACAAGTGGGGAGGACTTCACCACTGCGCCAGGCCTGCCCTCTACACATCAATCAATCATTACAGTAAATAAAGGCATAAAACATTTACTGCAATGGAAGTGTAGCAGTACAGTGTAACAAAAGTGATGCCAAGGATCAAGAAAGGAATGCATTAAAGTGGATAACACACTACATGCACTAAAGCAACCAATTAAAATTCCATGTTGCCCTCTTTCAAGAACAAAATGGATTCTTCACTAACAAGGTTACATCATATACTTAAAGAGTAAAACTAACAGATGATGCAGTTTTCAAAAAAACTGACAATTTTGTTGTGAACTGTTTACAAATCCGATGTGCACATCGAACATGCAAACCAGACACTTGCAAATATTTGTGACTACAGGTTCAAAATTATAATAAGAAACAATTAAACTCTTGGCAGGGGGCTCTCACATTTTGTATGTTTAGATGTGGGTTTTCCAAAGACAGCCTCAAGCAAATAGCATGATAGAAGAAATAACTAGGTTCCGCAAAGGAAACATTTCATCCCGGGAATAAATCAGGGATACTTACATGTTCCAACCTGAGGCATCCACATATTGTTGCAACAGCCCATGTGGATAAAGCAGTCGATTCCTCTTCAGCGAAGAGTGCATTACGCATCTGAAATAGGACTAGACATGTCACGTGCATATTATTGTTCTTATATTTATGATACTAAATATAACAGACGTGAACGTTACACCAAAGTAGGTCAGCTAAATGCGTAATGCGGTAATGCATCCCATAAATTACCTCAGCCACCTCTAAGCTTGTATCACGTGACCGAAGATCAATAGTCGACCCGGCAAGATGAAGAGCAGTTTCACCTGGCCGGTGAAACTTCAATGAGTGCAGGTGCTCCAACGGATGAAAATTAAGTGATGAACCCCTGACAGGACACTGCAACTGGTAGTACTGACAGACAACTTGTAGAGATCCATACTTTTTGGCCTGGAGAGAACATCAAGTTACTCAACAAATTCACGGATAGGAGCTGAGCAAAATATTGCATAATTTCATCCATACAGAACCTTAGCCCATCGCAATATACTGTTGTGCCCGACTACGTCTCCATGACCAATGGAAGATGGCTCCTCCAAGTCCAAGTCGGGGGTATCATTTCTCAAATTTATGCTTTCAGAAGGAGAGTCTTGGGAACTGCAGAAAATGGTGATAACTGTTTTACTATTTTAATCAGGGACTGATGCACACGTAAAATATAGTTTGCAAACAAGCGTGCTTCGCATTCATGACAAGAGAATCTGAGGTAAGAAAATAAGAACTGAGAGCAGCACAACAGTTCCCGCCAACCTTTATTGGTTATCTAGCTATAATGTTAAAAAGTGTTCACAGCAACATTAGGGGTTAAGACTAGGCCGATTGTGTGTTGAGGAAAACAGCAGGCTGTGCTAGAAGCTAATTGATTTGGAGGATACCATAACCATACCTTGGTGATGATTCAGATCCTTCACTAAGGCGAGACCGTATAAGCGGCAAGATAGTATCATTGACAAAGATATCAAGTTCTCCATCATTCACATCTTCATGTGAAAGAACATGAGAATTTTCCTTGGTATCAGATTCATTCGGAATGATGGGTAAGGAATCCGGTTCATCAAGCTTAACTCCAGATACACCAGTCGCTGTATCTTCTGAAACAGAATTGTCAGACTCTTCTGCGGTATAACACTGAGTAGCTGTTCCTGTTACAAGAACATTTTGTTCTTCTTTGACAGGAGAACCACTTTCCTGTTGGACTTCTTGGGAGATGAAATCCAGTTGGTTCTCCCTATACTCAGAATTGTTGTCCGTGTCAGAGAGCTGCTTTGGAGAAACTTCCACACTTGGTTCAAAGGATTTTTCTACTGTTGTACAACCAAAATACAGTTCCTGTCCTACGATTTCGGAGCCTTCACAAATATCACCATCCTCACAGTCCTCTTCAGGCGATAATGAGGTTAGCATGCTAACACCATCCGTGAGCCATTCAAGTCGTTCTTCCATAAGAATACTGCATAAGAAACACGGCAGACACTTACGGAGAGGCAAATGCAAAGGGTGGACCATCAATGTTGAATGTGTGATAGCATCGAAGACACCCATGCAAGAATGTTTGACAAAGACTCAAGACAAATCAAACAAAAAGCTTCCAGAATGTAACATTAAGACCTTATTCATACAATGCAAAATTTATGTACTGTAATTAGAGGACAGTAAAGTACTGTGCAAAATATGGAGCGGTTATACTAGTTGCAGGGTTGAAACTATACAGATAGATCCAAAAATAGAAAATGTATCTGTAAGGTCATCAATGCAACATAAAGCTCAGACATAAGGAATATTGGTAAATTATACTCCCTCCGTTCCTAAATATAAGTCTTTTTAGACATTTCAAATGGACTACAACATACGGATGTATGTAGACATATTTTAGAGTGTAGATTCACTCATTTTACTCCGTATGTAGTCACTCGTTGGAATCTCTAAAAAGACTTATATTTGGGAACGGAGGGGGTATGAATGAATAACTTGCAAACATAACTTCTAGAAGAAAAAAATAGAAGAATTTTGTAACTTCATTACAGATTAAGTAGAAAAAATAGAAGAAATTTGTAAATTCATTACAGATTAAGTAGGTTTCCATTTCTACCACCTCAAAAAGATTGACACACCAAAATACTCAAACTGAAGAGAAATTCAGATATTACAAATACAGTAAGATAACCGGAGATAATGGAGAGCACTGTACGCTACCTCTGCAGCACCCCAAAATGCAGTTCAAAGAATGGCAGCCTAGACAGGATGCAATAACACCGTGGCGTGGTTACTACATAACGACTCCGGCGTGGAAATACAGGTTTCTCATTCGTGAGCATCGAAACTAGCTTTGAGGGTCTTTGTACAATCTCTTCCACCAATACACAGCATCCATATAATGTAGGATCATCAGCAACCTGCGAACTCCTCAATGTCAGAGCCCCAGTAAGGTGAAACGGTGTAAGAGAGAAAGATGTAAATATACCTGTAAACGGAAGACGAAAGATTGATTGCTTTCTTTTAGATGTTCCTGAAAAAGACAATATAAAAAGTAAGATTCACATCAAAACCCCAAATAGACTAGATTAAAAAGAAAATATGTAATACGTTACAACTGTAAATTTGCGGCGTAGTCTGCAATGTGGTTGGAGGAGAAACTTCACGACTACAGAGATATTATAAAAATAAAACACGAACTGAGCTGAGAAAGTCACCTGCCCTAGGAGAATTTCGTTCAGCTCGCTGAATGAAGGAGTCCGTTCAACAGCATTAACCTATTACAAATGTAAATATAGGTAAATTATTTGGTAAGAAGTGTTTCTATGCTCTTCTTATAAGCTCTGCACAAATATTGAGGAAACACTAACAACATGAAGCTAATTCGGGCATGAAATTAGGATTATGGACCACATTCAGCCACAAAATTTAGCAGTTACAGATTTGCCAGACAGAAAGTAAATTCTATTTCTCTGAGATTTCCAAGATTTTTTGTACGAGGGACAACACTATATTAGTCGATTGGAGCATACAGAAAAAAAGGGGTGGGTATGGGTGTTTTATGGCGAGGGCAATGGACATACTGAAACTTGATAGCCGCCAGATGACTATTTCTAGTTTCACTGTTTTTATCGACTAAATTTCCTGGTACTGCTTGTTCTGATTGCATATTTACTTGGCAACGCTGGCATGTCACCGTATGTCCAAAACAGTCTAAATGACCACCTGGTCCATAGCCCATAGGAGTGTGTCTACTCCAGCCCTATATTCCAAACCTGTCTAACTGACACCCCAGGCTTTTCTCTAATGGATCCCCTGAGGAGATTTTTGTCACGCTATTGCACTATTTCATACATGGTGGATGTAGACAACTAGGCTGGTGCCAACTATTTTTTTTTTACTTTGCCTTCTTCTCTCTCGACGTCCCCTCACTCTGTTTCCTACACAAGGGCATTGCCGACTTTTTTATTGTATTATAATTTGAAATGTAACCCAGGTGGCAAGTTACAGTATTATGAACTGAACCAGACATAACAATCATGTCAACCCAGTAAACAAGATATAACCTATACAGGAAGCACCATAAAACTTGGTAAAATTGAAGTTTAATGTATAATCGTTGCAAACGTTTATTATAGAGAAATGCAAAGTATCAGGGTTATGTAGTTCGAATGGCAGACCTGTGCACCTCCAGGAAGGCAGAACGAGACAATATCCTTGTACTTAAGCGGAAGAGACCTCTCAGGGGGGTACGCAAAAAGGACCTGAAGGACAAGACAAAATATCCTGAGGTTCAGACACATGAAGAAAGGCAGCAATAGGACCTCCATTTTATAAGAACATGCAACAATAGATGATGTGAGTGATAACCTGAGGTTCCAAATTTGATACGGCATGAACTTGGTGGTGGTTGTTGCCAAATATATGTCTTGATTTCTTTGCATCATCATCATTTCTCCCTAGAGCAATGTTTTCTAGCTCATGGATATCTGCCTGAGGAGGAAGCCCAACAATCACTATGCTCTCAAAAAGATGTGATGGTTCTTTGATGCACCTATTACCCTGTTCCAACCAAAAAAAAAAAGAACTTGAGGCACTATGCTCTTCGACATTTGCCAAAATTACCAGTCCTACTACTTCCAAAATGATAGGCCATTTCAGCAGTAAGTAGTCGGCAGCCGGCCAAATAGAAGCAAGAGTCTACATTACATACCTATCTATTGCACTTAAATCAGATTTCAGTAGAACCCCAAAGGCAAAAAAATTGTGTATGCAGGCGTAATAAATACTTATACACTTGTGTAGAAGGTACTTGGGTATGCAGCCCAATTTCAAGGTTTACAACAAAGGTAATTTCTCCTTGATATCAAAAATATGAGACTACTTCACACTATGACTAACATGAATATCCCAACAGCAGAATAGCTCTCGCAGCTCACAAGTCAAATACCCAAACCTCTAACCCAAGCATAACAAAGTTTTTCATAAGTTTTAAGTAATTTAGCAATAATTGATCAATCACTGCTTGATAGGCTCCTAACCAAAAAGATTCCAATTAAGAGCTATCAGTGATAGGACTCCACTTGTATCAAACATGGAGTATAATTTTCTCTGACAATGACCCTTCAAAGCAACATTGCATGAATGTAGACATTAGAGCAATACAGATAACAACACAAATGGCATTGTGTCATGTGACCGCACATAGATTATGTCCTACATAGAATAGCGGGAGAAAATCAAGTAGATATTGTTTGTAGCATGAACTGCAAACACGAGTTTTATGCTTGAACAATAGCTGCAAACAAAGACACTTTGAGTCACTGAACAACTACAGAAAATTGACATGGTTTGGCTGAACTTATACCTAGTAGTTTGAAAAGCCAGGTATCACATCAATCATTAAAATTACAGCTCTGACTAAGCACCTTAGTTAATCAGCATAGTATATCCCACATTCCCACACCACGTAGAGTACAATAGATAGACATGAATTGAACATAGGTAGTGACATACATACCAATGACTTCTGCTGGAACCTCGACCACTGCCGCTTGTGTGTCGTGAGGACTTCTGGGTTGTATGGTCCAGACACTTCGGGTGAATTTGAAAACCCTTTCATGATCTTGGAGAATTGCTGCTGCAGCTTCTGCATTGGGCTGCCACTCTCTTCCCCAGACGAATAGACGACGGATGGCCGTGTTGGTTGCACGGTGGCAGCTGAAGCAGCGGCAATAAATGCTCTCGCAACCTCTTCGGTTGATTGCATCAGGTGTGATGTGTTGAACTTAACCCCTTCAGACCCGTCATTCTTGTTATCCACCATCCTAAATGCCTGTTACTCGTGCAAGCGAGGATACATTCATTTCAGTACTGTGATCAAGAACACGAAGACAAGCCATATAGCATCAGGAAGTAAGAATTAGTAAATCACAGGAGCACTTACAAATTAAAATCCCATCTGATTAAGCTGTGTTTATATATCCGAGTATTTGGCTATGTATATTTATTCTGTACAATTTTCACGCTCAAATAGGAGCTGAATAACATAAAACTTGTCCACATTTGGTTCCACTTTACCCAGTTGTAGCATGTAGCCAACAAGTAAACCATGTCATCAATCAGCTTTGAATCACCTAAATTCAACTGGACCGGACCTTATCAGCAATCACCCACATAATAAAGCAGCTAAATTGGTGACAGCTCCCTGGTACGGGACAACAGAATCAGCTTGCATCTCACTCCAACATCCAGCCAGAAAGCCACCTAATAACTAACTGTGCGTACTTTTTCCGGTAGTATCAAAGCCATAACCCAAAAGCGCCCCACCGAGTTGGCCACGCACCTTTTCCGCTAGTATCCATCACCAGGAAGAGCATACGGCGGAATCTAAGAAAAGCAGCACCGGATCAAAACAAACCCACATAATCCGACGCTGCTATTATTGATTCCTTGGTTTTCTTATAAGACTCTGCTATCGGTTTCTCTGCCTACGAATTAAACTAAATCGAGTGTGGAAGTGTTTGGGCTGGACCGAAATTGCAGAGGCCAGACCAACCACTCGATCTCGGAGTTTGACCCGGGGGTCGCCCACCAGAATCGCCGTTTGACTGCTGCCCCGAACCCCCCTGCCCGCCGCGCAAGCAGGAGGAAGCAATCGCGGCGCGGGAACCGCCCGCCCCGGAGTTCAGGCCGCCCCCGGAGATCGACGGCGGGGGCGCCGGCCGTCGAGGAAACGCCCGGGAAGATCCGCGTGCAAAAAAAGAGAGAGAGAGAGAACTAGGAGGGGGCGAGAAATCACCTGGGCGGGGAGGGGCTTCGGGTCGGCGCCGCTCGCTGATCCCCCTCCGCTGCTGCTGCTGCTGCTCCGCGCGCCGCCGCCGGCCGAATGGGTGGACGGTCTGTCTGATGGTCTTCTCTCGCCTGCCTTCCTTTTCCGTGTCTGTGCGGGCTAATGAACGCACGCACGCACGCACGCGGGCTTGGATCCGCCGGATTAACGCACGGCGGGCGGCTCGTTACGAGCCACGGGATGGAGTTTTAAGTGGCCTGATTTGGTTTTTGGTCTGGGTTTGGGCAGGGGATCTCGAAAGCGAGTTTGTCGTGGGCGGCTCCGACTCTTCTCTTTGCTGCTCCGAGGACTCGCTGGGGGCCACCGCCTCTCGCTGCGCGTGGGCCCGGGCAGCGGCGGGTTGACCCGGGCCGGCCTGGCGCTTTGGCTGGCCCTCGGGTGTGCCGTGCGCCGCTCGCGGCCACGTCCCGCGCACGGCTGGCGCGTGGACAGCTCTGAGCGGAGCCAGAGCTGCACAAGGCTCTTTTTTTCTGTTTTTTTTGGCCAAGTTCTGATTTTCTTTTGACATCATTTGCCAACGTCTGATAGTTGTGTGTAGTCGGCAGCAGCAGCAGGCTGGCGGGAACGCGGGAGATTTTCTTTGCTTGATGGAGCACCATCATCATATTCTAAAAATAATAGTGTGATTATTTCTGGTATATATTCTTTTTTTCTGTATGCAAATAATACTGCTACTGGTTAGGAGGCGTCCAGCAAAGCTTAACGTTCGCGGCCAGCTTTCGTGTCAGCCGAGATTTTATACGGCGATAATGCTTGATGATGCGATGCGAGTCGTTATATGTCCCATTCCAACAAAGCATCGATCACACCCTGTGTGTGTTTTGGACTGTGGATAGCTACGTTGTGGATAAGCACGCACGCAAGGGACGCTTGAGGATGGTACTGATCGGAGGAATTTCTCGCTATCTTCGACAATTCGTGTCCCCAAACTTTCTCCTTTTCTTTCTTCTACTTCTTTATTTTTGAAATTATTTCTTCTTTTTCTGTACTGATGATGATGACGTACCATGTGTTCTTCTTTCGTGCATATTGTTTTTGCGAGTTTTGGTCGTGGCAAGGTTCACGAGGTGTGATGTGCATGCGAGGTGTGGTATGCATGCGTTGGACTTGATTCCGGTCTGTGAAGACTGGGTGGAGAGACACAGTCGCTTTTTTTGACCGGTTCTGGTGAATGTAGGCCGATGGGAACACAAAACTACCACGCACAACCACTCCCACTTTCGATTGATTGACTACTCCGTTCCTGTGGCTGAATCGATCGATCCCGCGCCGTGGTTGCCGCGCGCGCCTTAAATTTGATCCGGCCGTGAAGCTTACGTCTGCCGGCTCGGCTCTTTGCACGGTGGCCAGGGAAGACGTGCGGCTGGTACAGGTACACCAGTGGTTGTTGCACCCTTCCATAAACGCTCAACGGTGCAACCATGCTCGCGGCGGCCGCACCGGCGTGGACGACGGCGACGGCGAGTGCCGACTGCCGAGTAGGACGCGCGCTCTCTCTCTCTCCTTCCCCGTCATCAACAGGATCTCCTTTCATTTATTTGGGACATCACCGGCGTGGCGAGGAAACCGCCCGGCCCGCACGCACGGCGCCACTCTTCGCTTTGTCAGCTTTTATCGCCGTCATGGTACCACGCTATAGTTGTAGTCAGTGTCCCCTCACTCCGCAAAGATGATTTTTTTTAATGTACTATACTACTACTTCGTGCTAAAAGAAAATTCTTAATTCTTTTTTTAGGGTCAGAAAAATCTTAATTCGATAAGTGAGGATGGTCACAACTCACACGCGCTGGCAGACTGCCTGGGCACGTATCAGACTTGCACCAGCCCATGCCCGCATGGTGGGGAGCCGGCCCGGCATGGGGAACATGCATCCATGCAGAAACGCCGTGTGCCTGAAGCCAGCTCTATTCATTTCGCGTCCATCCTTTGCTCACCGTGGCGAGCGATCCGGCGCTTTTCCTCTTCGAAAAATCACTCGAGCGATCCGGCTCATGTTTTAGATTTGAATCGGCAGGGCGCCCAACGCGTCGATTCATATATGTCGGCCTAGCCGGCTGGCAGCCATATTTCAACAAATAGCTCATCTTTGCATTGCTATTGCATTCAAACATATAGTCAAATAACATAGTTTCAACCGAATAAAATAACATAGTTTTACAAGCCGAATATAAGTAAAAATGACTCACATAGTTTTGCAAGCCAAATAAAGAAGATACATCTATTGGTTGCCAACATGAACCTGTATATGCTCAATCAAATCATTTTGCGGTTGCACGTGAGTTTTCCAATCACGCATATCATGATGGAATTGGGTAAATTGTTCAAATGTTGTCGTCCCTCCATGCTCAGGCACAAATATTCTCACCCTGAAACTGAAACCCTTGATCGTACAGACGTTCCGGGCGCTCATCTTCTACGATCATATAGTGCATGATCACACAAGCAGTCATCACCTCCCACAGTTTCTGCGTGCTCCATGTATTAGCAGGATACCAAACGATGCCCCATCGAGATTGCAAAACACCAAAGGCACGCTCGACATCCTTCCTAGCACTCTCTTGCTCTTGGGCACATCTTTTCCTCTTCTCTGTGACAGGGTTGGGGATTGTTTTGATAATAGTGGTCCACTAAAAATAGATACCGTCACCCAGGTAGTATCCTTTGTCGTAGTTGTGCCCGTTGACAGTAAAGTTCATCGGTGGGTTGTTGCCTTCGGCAAGCCTAGCAAACACCGGCGAGCGCTGAAGCACGTTGATATCATTGTGTGATCAGGCCATGCCAAAGAAAGAGTGCCAGATCCAGAGATCTTGAGACGCCACGGCCTCAAGTATGACAGTGCAAGCCCTGACATGGCCATTATACTGCCCTTGCCAAGCAGAAGGACAATTCTTCCACTCCCAATGCATATAGTCTATGCTGCCAAGCATCCCTGGGAAGCTCCTGCTAGCATTCATCGCCAACAAAACAGGCTGTATCTTCAGCAGTCTGCTCTCTCAAGTACTCAGAGCCAAACACAGCAATAAAAGCCTTGCAGAACTTATACAGGGACTCTAGGCATGTAGACTCGCTCATACGGATGTACTCATCAATGAGATCACCGGGCACTCCGCGTGCAAGCATTCGGATGGCGGCAGTGCATTTCTGATAAGAGGAGAAACCAATCTTTCCAACGGCATATGAGGGAGTCCTGGATTAGGGGGTCCTCGGACGGCCGGACTGTATGCTTATGTCGGACTGTTGGACTATGGAGATACAATATTGAAGACTTCGTCACGTGTCCGGGTGGGACTCTCCTTTGCGTGGAAGGCAAGCTTGGCAATTCGGATATGTAGATTCCCTTCTCTGTAACTGACTCTATGTAACCCTAGCCCCCTCCTGTGTCTATATAAACCGGAGGGTTTAGTCCGTAGGACAAGAACAATAATAATCATAGACTAGCTTCTAGGGTTTAGCCTCTACTATCTCGTGGTAGATCAACTCTTACAATACTCATATCATCAAGATCAATCAAGCAGGAAGTAGGGTATTACCTCCATAGAGAGGGCCCGAACCTGGGTAAACATCGTGTCCCCCGCCTCCTGTTACCATTAGCCTTAGACGCATAGTTCGTGACCCCCTACCCGAGATCCACCGGTTTTGACACCGACATTGGTGCTTTCACTGAGAGTTCCACTGTGTCGTCACCGTAAGGCTTGATGGCTCCTTCAATCATGTACAATGACGCGGTCTAGGGTGAGATTTTCCTCCCCGGACAGATCTTCATATTCGGCGGCTTCGCACTACGGGCCAACTCGCTCGGCCATCTGGAGCAGATCGACAGCTATGCCCCCGGCCATCAGGTCGGGTTTGGAAGCCTGAACTACATTGCCGACATCTGCGGAGACTTGATCTTCGATGGATTCGATCCCATGACAGATGCACCCTACAGCCACGATGAGCATGACCTAGATCTGCCATCGGACGGTGTTCATGAG